AACCTAAACCCCAAACCCTACATCCTAGCCAGGCGGGAGGCAAAACCCAGCATGTTTGCAGGGTTTCGGCTTCAACATGTTGTAACCACAATCCAATCTGTACGTATTGAAGCCTCAAGCCCTCAGCTGCTTTCTGAATTCTGCGCCCTGATTCTTTAGAGTTATGTAGTGCCGGGGTCGGAATAATGAGTACGGATCTTCCTGAACGATCTTCTTCACTGTGCTTGCAGTATAATGTACCCCCCCCCCCNNAAATCCTATTCTAATTATGAAGACCCTATATTGGTTTGAGCTGGAAGTTTGCTGGAGTACGGAGTTTCCGTTGTTGGGTTTTCTGCAGGTTTTCCGGTATGGAGGCTATCGCATTGGATTCGAGGCGCTTCAAGGACAGGACTTTATTTTTGGGTGGGCGGTTGGGGGGAGGGCTGATTTCGTTCTGGTGCCGCCGACTTTGTCTGAAATAATGGGCTCTGAACCCACGCATGCCAGCAAAAATTAAGACAGTGCCAGGTGTTTTGGGAAGCCAGGATTACATGGAAGGAAAAAATGGGCTCTGAACTCATGCCTGCCAGGAAAAGTCAAAGCAGTGCATATATGCCTATATGCCTCTGAGAATGACATTCAGGCGCCATGCCGAGAAAACATGCGACGTCCCAAGTTTCAAGGCGACCTGGTTCATGAACGTCATTTTCACAGGCATATCTGCACTGTCCTGACTTTCGCTGGCAGGTTTAAGACCCCATTCCACATAATCCTGGCTTCCGAAAACCCTGCGGTAACTTATCAATGTGTGACCACTTACTGCCCTATGAGCCTGGTTTCTCTAGGCAAGCATAAACCGTATCACGGTTTCGGGCTTAGGGTTTTGCTTAGGGCTTGGGGTTTAGGGGCGCTCCAGTAGAAGCTTGAGACCAGGTGTGCAGCCGTCGGCCTCTTGTCCCGGGAAGCAGGGCTTAGGGTTTTAGGGTTTAGGGTTTAGGGTTTTAGGGTTCAGGGTTTAGGATCAAGTTTGGTTTTGGGGAGCCGACAGCGTCGGATCCTAAGTAGCCGAAGACCCCAAGCTCAAAACCCTACCTCCTATGACCCGAACGCCAAAAGAACGAAGCCCGAGTCCGCCAAAGATGATTCCTAGGTTGCATGAGTACGGCCCCTTTCGGAGGTTTTTGGGAGAAGGATCCTGCTACCTATGGCATACCTAGGCCCCCAACTCCCCGAGATCATTGCACAGTGCCCACTCTTAAGGACCACAGCGCCTGGGCTAAGGGTACCCTGGGAGTTTCCTGGTAAACCCTAAACCTCAAACCCTAAAACCCTAGAAGCCCTAAAGCCCGAAACCCTAAACCC